AGTTCTTTTATCTTATTGAAATTATTACTGTTATTATTAAGGGAAAAAAAAGCAAGGAGGGGAATGTCAGTAGGTTTTGTTGTTTTTCTCCACTATTTGCACCACCACCAGAGGGCTTCATGCTCTAGGTTCTGGAGCAATCTGATTGAAGAATAAGCTGAAGGTTGGATTTCTTGTTCCCACTTCCACTGACTGCTCCAGGAGAAAGGGGCATATGCTGCAAGAAGGGCCCTCAGCTAATCCATGGCACCAGAAGATTGCCATGACAGCATGCTTCTGGGAAAGGCATTTGGAGCAACCAAAAAGAAGGCATTTAGGATGCAATTTTGCTTCTGTGATGTTTTCCCCCTGCCTTTCCCATGACAGAAGATGGGGTGAAGTGTCGCATTGCAAGGTGGGATGATACACACAGCTGTGGTTTTGCACAAAAATAAAATGCAGAGCGGTGAAACAAGCTCAGACAGGAAATCACTTATTTCCTTGTGCTGCTGCTATGACAGCAATGTTGATGTTGGATCTTCCCTACATGAAAAATAAAAAGCAAGTTCAACCAAAATAGGGCCCGATTCCTGTAAGGATGAGCCATTGCCTCCTCTGCAAGGTAGTTTTCTGCAGCCCCTGGGCACAGAGCATCAGCCATGCAAACTGTCAGAGGTGGATGGTAGTACATTTGTCATCCTTTATCTACAAGATGCACAGCTCTGAGTGGGAAAAAATTGTGATTTAATCATTTGGTTGAACACAGTAAGGAACAAGGAGGGATTTTCCAATAATACTTGAGGTGGTTTCATTCTTATTGCCCTTGAGACAGAGATTTATTGTCTTGTCACTTGATGGCAACTGCTTGCACTCTTAAGTTCTGTGGCACCTTGGGAAAGAGGGTAACAGTTTTTAATGACCAAAAAATCTCATGTCATTTCATAAGGGAACACTTAGGATTTCCTGGCACTGGAGTGCGCTCTGCTGTAGCTTTCACTGCAGCCTCTGTGCTTCCTCTGAGAAGATGCTGTGTGCTCTTTGCTCAGCCCATTGGCAAAAAGGGTGAACCTCATCTTGATTCTTCTTCCCTTGCAACTTTCTCTCGTTGTGTTGCCTAAGAAAGACAAGTAAAAAAGAACTATTGTTTCATCAGCCTTTTTTGCAGCACCACAGGCAAATTTGAACTTTCCAACAAAGTCGAAGCAGGGAGTATTTGCGAGGTTGTGTGGCAGCAGTTGACGGCAGAGGACAATCAATACTCCCCATCAAAACAGCTCAATAGCCTCATGCGCACCCACAGAGGTTTTCTTTCCAGATGCTATACTTTGTCCTGGTAACATTTCCAGTTGTCATCATGAACCTGAGTTCTTATTTCACCTGCAAACAATTTAGCTTGGTTGGTGTATTTGCAGACTCGGGTCAATCCACCTTCTTAAGAATGTGTGGAAGAGCAGACCTACACCAAAGAGCTGGCGATTTTGTGAAATAGTATACAGGGGACTGCACCGGTGTGCATCTACTGACTCAGTTTTAAGGCCCAGGAGAACAGTGGGCTGGGCACCCTGTCCTGATCTCCCATGGACCTTCCTGGAGCAGAAGCTCCGAAGCAGCCTTCCAGCTCCAGCCATTCGGTGGTTGTGTTCTCTCTTGTGCTGGGTTCACCAGTGTGAATCTGTACCAACTCAAAATATGAGTAATTTAAAATCAATGTAGTTTAAGTGAAACACTTTTATTTTTTATTTCTTCTTTCTGGAACAATCAGAAACTCAATCTTAACCATGAGGAGTACACTTTTCTTTTTTTTAAATGAAGGCTGAGGTTTTCACTTTGTCTCAGGTTTATGGCAAATGCAGCTCCTGCAGTAGAGCTGTGCTGGCACAGGACCATGCTCAGGCATCTCAGTGCTCAGCCCAGCCATGATAAACCTGCCTGCATCCCCTGCAGACAAGGCAGTCATAGCCAGTGACTGTGTGGGTTGGGAGATGCATGTCTGCCGCAGGAGAAGCACATGTCCACACAGCTCAAACTAACTGCTGCCAAATGCCAGCATGTCGACCACACCGCACACCTGGGTGCCATCCAGCAATCTTGCTGAGAGTGTGCGCAGCCCACTGTCTGTGTTACCAGCAAGGACGTTAAACAGTGTTGGTTCAGTACTGACCCCCAAAGAGCACCACTTGTCATTGGTCTCCACTGGGACATCAAGCCACTGACTGCAACTCTTTGGGTGTTACCATCGAGCCAATTCCTTATCCACCCAGTGGTCTTCGTCTTCCTATATCATCTGGATGAGTTAAAGGATGACTTTTACAAAGTTACAAAATATTTCACATTTGTAGACCTAATAAGAGAAGACTTGCAAAACCACCAGTAACAGCAACAACCAACCAGACAAAACCCAAGGGATTCCAACTGAAAGGCAAAGCCAAGCGTGAGACAGAGTACCTGTCACAGCTGAGCATTCTAAAGCAGAGGGAAGCAATCAGATCAGCCCCAGAGATGCTAGGTTGGCTCTAGTGTTTTTATAGCAGATTGATTGTCCTGGGAGCTTTGTGGCTCCTACAGGGTGAGTCAAGTTCATGATAGAAAGTATCAGCAATGAGCTTTTATGTCATGCCTTTGGTGTGCCATGGGGCAGAAGTCCAAAGGCAGCATCATTTTGTACAGCTGGGTAGAGCATTTAGCACCTCTCCAGTGCCAACTCTGGGAGGTGTTATTCCAGGGTGAAGCCTTTTTTTTTTTTTTTTTTTTTTTTTTTCTTTCTTTTAAAAAACAGTTTTTTGGTCCAAAATTGGAGTGAATGTAATTGGCTTTGTGTGTTTTCTCAAATCTTTCTCTGGTGTGGAAAGTGGAGGGTGAAAAGAAAGGAAAGACAGTTTACTC